GCTCACTGCAAAAATATTTTCATTGAAAAATCAGCACATGATATAGTCAAATGTAATACGTCATTTGACTATATCCACCTCTGAAACATCAATATAGAATTGCAAATAGAGATGGAGGACTTGAAATCTTCTATATTTTAGCCTATGTTTGAGCTCCCAAAAAAAAAAAAAAATGAAAACTCATTTTTTCTAAAATTCATCTTTAATCACGCATTCTTTCAGAAAGTAAATTTACACTTAAACTCATAACTTTTTTCTAACTTTTAACCACACAAATTCTGCAAAAAATAAAAATTAAAAAAAATTAAAAAAATTAAAAAAATCTATTTGCCCCCCAAAAATGGCTTTGTTGTCACTTGTATTTTCTGAAAATAAGATTTTTTGAAAATTGCATGTTTGGCTGTTCTTAATATTAAGTTAAGCTTTATCTTAAGTGATATATTTTATTAAATATGATTTTTAGAATTTCTTATGTTACTAACAGATTTTGTATTTGAGATGAAGAAAAAAGTTCGTTACTTTAGTTACTAAAAAAAATTAGTTTTTTAAGTACAATTAAACATGTTTATTTATTTTTCATGTTATTGTGATTTTACGTTATTAAAAGGAATAATTTACTTCAAGTCCACGTACATAGACCCCCAAGAAATCTTTTCTGCCAGCAAGACTTTTAGCATGTTCTTGGCCCCATTCTTTCCACATTTTTCAAATTTTGTGGGCCCCACAATTGAAATTATGGTTTTTATCTAACGACCAGAGCACATTTTGACAAAATCAATGGAGTGTTCCACGTGTTAAAGCCATCAATTACGTTTATACCCTTGACATTACTGTTGTAAATTTCACGTGAACCGCTTTGGTTAAAATGGTTGAGGATAGTTGCGTAGATTTCCAATTACAGCGTGAGGCAACAAAGGAATAATTTACTTCAAGTCCACGTACTCTATATATCTAGTAGAACCCCCAACGAATCTTATATACTAGCAAGACTTTTAGCCCCGCTTTGATTCTTTTAATGAGACCAGCATTTGCCTGTGCAATACACGGTTCTTGTCAATCGAAAAGTAATATTAACGTGTTGAATATAAATGAGTAATGATACATACGTTGAATCCTATATATTCTCTTTTCTAAAAGTAGTGTCTTGATAGGTTGGTAGAAGCAAAGGACATTGAGAAATGTGGATTATTTTCACACTAAGCAAGTAACAAAAAATGAAACATCTCAGAAAATGATGATATTAAGCACATGTTTGGCCTTCATTTTGTGGAAATGAAAATGGGTGGAGTAGATTTTTTTTTGAAAAATGAGTGGTTGAAAAAGAAAGAAAAATTTTCGACTTACGTGTAATATTATTTTATGAAAGATTGTGTGGTTAAAAATAAAAGAGATAAAAATGAAATGTAATGAAATAAAAATTAATAGGGGTCAAACGGGGGTTAAAAGGTTACATCTTGTGCTAGCTATGACAATCAAACCATAGATAGCCAATCATTCTTATTCGTATGTTATTACCTCTCCTCTTTCCAGGACATAACCTAGGCACTAATATTGCCTCTCTTTTCATTATCTGTTTGAAAAACAAATGCCAGTTCATTTTGATCTTATATCTCATTGTAATGGAGATATATATTACCTTTTCAAACCTTGTGGCTCACCATCGTAGGGTCAGGTACTTCTATTTCATCATGCCCCTTGAAGTATGAACACATTTACCGAACATGCAAGATAATACACATTGTAATAAAATATATATATATATATATATATAAATAAATAAATAGTCCAGTCAAAAGAGAAATATAACGTACACTCCACACATTTTACAGGCCTGAAACTATACAAAGAGAACAAAAACATACTACAACGATGCCTGTCAATTTACCTCCTCTCAAATGGTTTAGATATACACAGGGGCGGAGCCAGAAATTAATGATACGGGGGGGTAAAAAATTTTAAAATTTTAATTTATGAATAAAATTTATATATAATAAGAAAAATTCATAACATAAGTTACCTACTATAGTTGTAGTTGGCGATATTTTATAGTATAAAATTCATCTATAATAGAATCTAGATCTAAATTCATACTAAATTCTCGTTCAATATTTAGTGTTAAACAATTAGCAAGAAAAACCATCATCCATTTTGTTGCGAATCTCCATCTTCACATGTTTCATTGTTGAAAATGTTCGCTCCACAGTTGCCTTTAAAACAGATAGTGTCAGTACTAAACAAATCAATTTAATCAAAATGACGTAACTCTCTGACCTTCTGCTTGCAACCAATTCCCGACATAAATCAGAAAGTATAAGTAGTTGAAATCGAGGTTCATAAATCACATCATTTTGATAATGTTACAACTCAACTTTCAAATAATAAATATCTTGTCGTGTAAAATTTTCAAGATAAAACTTCTCTACTAGCTTGCAAATATTATTCATGTTATATGATTCAAAAGAATTTTTTTGATCCAAAGCCGTACAGAAAGAAGGGAGTTGTAATGATGTCTCGTTAAATCTTGTATCTGACTCCATCATCAGAAAATCTATGACTGTATTGAAATTATCAAAGTAATAATGATGTTCAATGGTAGGATACTCACAACCACAAGAACGACCAACCATATACGAACCATCAAAGCCAGGTACATTTATATCATTTTTTGAGCAAAAAATTTTCACCTCTTCAAGAAATTCTTCCCAACCATCTTCTCTTAAAGTTTGAAGGATAGTTTTCATAGTATGGACAAATCTCATAGCAGTTAAGATGTCCTGAGTTTTCTTCTGGAGGACCTGACAAAGCAAATCGCAATTGCTAATATTCAACGCATTAAATGCAAGATAAATACAAATTCAAATGTTGTCATGGTTTTGTATACATCACCAACTTTGGACCGAGACCTTATACTTGGAGAATGATCACTAAGATACTCAAGCACCTTACAAGTAGCAGCACACATATAAATCAAACTTTTTACAGGGCTATAATGAGAAGACCAGTGAGTACCTCTGGCTCGTCAAATTACTAATTTGATTAGCATCACTTCCTGAATCTCGTTCTCCAATTTCCAACAAATGCTCAATTTCTTTTCCTTCGGTATTTTTCAACTCATTGATGCATTTAGGAGATGATGTAATCATATTAATAACATTGTCCAAATGAGAAAAAAATGAATTAATATCTAAGACATCCTTAGCTGCAGAAACCAATATGAGTTGTAAACGGTGGGGAAAACGATGGACATTGTATACAAATGGACAATCTCTAATAAATAATACCCATAGTGCATCCAAGAGCCACATATATTATCAGCACCATCATACCCTCGGCATTTCATGTTTCGCACTTGAAGGTTGAAACGGATAAGAATATCATAAATCTAATTCTTAAGATTTAATGAGGTAGTGTCACTAACATTTTCAATTGCAAAAAAATGTTCTGTCAAAATTCCAAGAGCCATGCTCAATTTCATGGACCAAAACTTGCACCATCGATTAAAAAGAGAGTGCACGTGTTAAAATGTGATTCAAGGATAAGGCTTTTCTATTTTCTCGTCTTGAATAATTTATGTATGCAATCACAAAATCAAACTAACTCGAAATTAATGTGGAAAATAAATTATTATTTTTTGTTTCAAAACTAGACCCTAAATCATTTAATTGCTGAATTTATTTGAATTTGAATTTACTATTGAATCTTAATTTAAAAGTGATAAATTTGAGAACTTGTATGGGATTCAATATAAGTTTTTCAAAAGTTCATTATGAGTTCTTCATAAGTTAAAGGTCAAAATTAAATTTTAGTTTTAACCACGTTACTATTTAGAATTCACAACTGCTATCTAACTCATTTTTATCACACTATAAGATTTATAATGACACCCAACAAGAACTAATACATTTGGAAATTCCTTTTGGACTGTTATATAAGGGATATTGGTGGACATGATCCCAAACCTTTGCACATATTGCATAATTGTTCCAAACCTTTTAAAGTGGCATAAATGATTCCAAACATTTCATTTTTGTTGCAAATATATAGACCCTTGATATAGGACACGATTGTACTTTCGTAAAAGTTGGGACTACATATATAATTCTACCTAAAAAAAAAAAAAATAGTCCACATGCCGACTAACGACCGTTCTGAACGGAATCTATCCAAGAATCAAAATAATTACTTGCACTAAAAATGAAAAAGTTTGATACCATTTGCTCTATTTTTGAAAGGTTCTGACCAATCAAGCAATAAACACAAACGCTTGGAACCATCCAAATTTCCATTATATAACTGTGACTTTATCGCATAATATTTTCTAGTAAACTCCCTACTTAGTTACTACAATAATATGGAACCAATTTATTATTATTTTACTAAAGAACCACAAACTGTAAATCCAATAAACTCAATCGTTCCTTCATTTTATTTAAAAAATTATTTTAAAGTACTGCTATTTGTACGTAATGATATTTATAATTATAACATAAAACTTTAAAGAGAGAGAAAGATTATAATAACTAAATTTCATTTTTTTCTTATGTCTATTTTTTCTTTCTCTCTTACATGTATCATTATGTATACCATTATTTACAATAGAATTACTTTTTATTTTATATGAGTGCGTCTTATAGTATCTTGCTATATGTATATTAAGATTTATTTAAATGATTATATAATATCATGTGACACTCTATCAGTTGCCAGTATAAAATGTCATCAACTTTTTCATCAAATCATTTCATTCCACATCATTTTGAATAACCACTTATGTACCTTTTTATGTACACGCAGCAAAATTCATTCTACGGATACATGTCTTCTTATTTGCCCTTCTATGCACCGCATGAAATGAGTCAGCACCACGTGTCAACATAAAGGGCTCCATCAGCACCCACGTGTCACTCTTTCCTCATTTTGGTCCTTGACCCTTCATTAACAGTGCTCTCCTATATATATCACAGTAGATCTAGCAAGTTGCATGAAAAATTGTTAAATTAGTAACAGCTTGATAGCCAGCAAAGAAAGGGAGAGAAAAATGGCATCGGAGCAGGAGCGAGCTGAGCTTAACGCAAAGGCAAGGCAAGGAGAGACAGTGGTTCCGGACAAAACTGGCGGCAAGAGCCTTGAAGCCCAGGAGCACCTAGCTGAAGGTATTATCTTTTCTTTTTATGCTCAATGGAGTTTTCTGTCATAGATGAATGATATTGGTATTGTTAATGCAGGGACAAGTCGAGGAGGGCAGACTCGTCGGGAACAACTGGGGACAGAAGGGTACCAAGAAATGGGAAGCCGAGGAGAACAGACTAGGAATGTGTAAGTGTTATGTCCTAAATTCAATCAATTTAGATTGTAAACACTTTTAATATGTTTAATACATTTATTTTTGGCAATATCTGTTATTTATTTAAATCAATATTATGACAAATAATATTAAATAATAGAGTTCGTAGATTCAAATTTCAGTAATTTGTTAATCACAAGTAGTTGTGATTGTGAGATAAAAGTTATGTATGATTGGATCTTGAATAATCAATGGCCGTAAGTAATAATAAGATACGGATATTGTTATTATGGATAGACCACTATGTGTGGCATTTCTTACATATGAAGTAAGTAGCTGATCTCATAGACTAAAATGTGGTGACACTTAAATGAACACGTAGATGTTTTGTTATAAAACAAAATATTGGATACCTGCTGAGAGATTCTACATGGATAACTATTTGAGTGTCAATGATTAATCTCTAACGTTCTGTAGTGGAATTAGTCCTTTGACTTGAGGTCGTCATGGTGCCTTATATGAGGACAGTCATACTTTGATGGTGTTGGATGTTGCTCTGCCAAGGGCCGCTAATACTACATCGTTTGAGTATGTCAAGAATCGTATGAAGGTTGTGAACGACCAATAGAAGATTTGTCACTCTTAAATAGTAAGAGATTATGATCCACAATTCATTCAATTAAGTCGATAACGAAATCCTTGGCCAATGTATAATCAGAAGTCGAAAATGAGTTTTCGACTTATATTGACTTAATCGTGGAATGAAAGATATGATCGATAATCGAAATTGACACACTTTCATATCTCATAATTGATAGGACCATATTGACGAAGTGGATTATAATTTCACGGTAAACAAACAAGTTTGATTTTATCATGCCATGTCACATTTTCGTCACATGTATTGTCCTGACACATTGCTAAATGTCAATCTGGGACGACGAACATGAGTTGGTGATAAATTAAAAGGATATTTTAATTTATCGATTTTGATTATATCAAAATAACAATTTACATCGTTAGGCATCGTGATCGGGAACCTAATGGGTCGCAGACAAAATGAGAACTGGAATATTGTGATTTGTCAATTAATTAATTTAACAAGTATTGGATAAATTAATTAATTGGGTCGCTTATTCATAAGCCCAAATTAATTAATTGGGTTAATTAATTTACGGACCGAATTTAAATAAATGAGTTAATTAAATATTAGATCGGGTCAGGCCAAGCCCGTTTGAGCTTATATAAATAAGTGACTAGGGTTTTCAATTTATAGAGACTTTTCATTCTTGCTAGCACAAGAAGAGAAAAACACAAGTTTCGATAATCTTGTTCTCTGTGTGGAATTCCATTAAAGCCTGGACAACTGGACAGCGGTGGTTGACAGATCAAGATTGCTGGAACAATTAAAAGCATATGAGTTTGTAGACCTATAAAAATGTATAACTTTTATCATAATTTTTATTTAAACACAAAGTGATTTTTTAGTGGGAATTGAAATCTGTTTTATTTTCCCTGTGCATGATAAGTAAATTTTCAACAGAAGGAGCAGATTGGAAGAGAAGGGTACTAAGAGATGGGCCGGAAATGCGGCTTGAGCACCACTGACCAGCCCGGTGGCAAACACGTGGCCAAGGAAGGGATTGACATTGATGAATCCAAGTTTAGGAAACAAATGTTTTACGTCACGCATAATAGAGTTCTATAAACATTAATCCTTCCTATGTAGTTTTTTATTGTCTGTTTGTTTGTCTGTGTTCGTATGTAATGTATTGGTTTGAAGCTTCTTTCATCTATTTCTAGGGATGGCAATTCAAACTATCAAAATCGAAAATCGCAGTTAACTGAACGAATGGGGCGAAAAAAATCGAACCGATGGTACAATGGGTCAGATATGGTATTTTATTTTAATGACACAGTTCGGATGGGATGGGTATGGTATTTATGCCATCGACCCACTTCGAACCGACTATCCTTTTTTTTTTTTTTTATAAGCACCCGTTATTTTATTTTTATTTTTTTGTTATAAGTACCCGTTAAAAAAAAAATTAATTGGGCAATTGGGCTTTCCATCATTCTTTCTATGAAAATTAATTTTAATTTTAATAAAGATTGTGGAATTATTTTTTCAATCGATGTCCCGACCTAGTTCTTGTATTGATGTATCTAGGGTTGTCAATGTGCCAAACCGGAAAGCACGA